CAATAGGATTGTGGCTCCCAGGGGTGGAGGGGAGAGGGACATGAGCTAGTGTTGAAAGTTTTAGGCTTTGAAAGATGAAAAGTGTTCTGAAGATGGAGGGTGGTGATGGTTTCATGACACTTTGAATATATTTAGTCCCCCAAACATGGTTAAGATGGTAGATTTCATGTTTCAGATTCTTTTATTGGTGTATTCAATTGTAAATAGTAATGGGATTCATAGACACCTTCACATATATCATGTACTTTGACTGTATTGACCCCATACTTTTATCTCCTTTCCCTTCTCACGAGCCCCTTTGGTTCCCCTAGACAGTTTTGCTTCTATTTCATGACATATATGCACAAATGTTTTTCCGTGTCTGTATAAAATCTAGGATCCACAAATGAAAGACATATGGCATTGGTCTTTCTGAGTCTGGCTTATTTTGTTTAACATGACGATTTCCAGTTGCATCTATTTTTCTGGAATGGTGTAATTTCATTTCTTCTTCATGACTGTATAAAATCAATTATATATATATCACTTTCCCCTTAGCTCTTGTGAACAGTGCTGCAGAAACATGATATGCAAGTGTGTCTGTGGTTTATTGAATTAGACTTTGTCAGTTATATACCTAGGAATGGTTGCTAGGTCATATGAAAGTTCCATTTTTAGTTTTTAAGGAGCCTACATACTACTTTCCATAGAGGCTGTACCAGTTTACATTCTAGCCAGTGGTGTAATTTTAATTTGTATTTCTATGATGGCTAAGGATATTGAACATTTTCAGTATATTTATTGGCCATTGTACTTCAACTTTTGAAAATTACTGATTTCATTTGCTCATTTATTGACTTGTTTGGTTTCTCAGTATTTAGTTGAGTTCTTTATATATTTTTAGCTTTTAAAAATATACATCTATGAGATGTACAGCTAGGGGCTGGAGAGTGCTCAGTGGTTAAGAGCACTGACTGCTTTTGCAGAGAACCTGGGTTCAATTCCCAGCACCCACATGGCAGCTGACCACCTGTAACTCCAATTCCAGGGGAATATAACACCCTCTTCTGGCCTCCATGGGCATTGTGTGACATGAGTGCACTTATATACATGCAGGCAATACATTCATACACATAAAGTAAAAAAAGTAAAAATACTTTTTAAAAGAGGTACAGCTAGCAAAGATTTTTTTCCCCATTCTGAAGGTTTTCTCTTCATTCAATTGTTGCCTCTGTTGTACAGAAGCTTTTTAACTTCATGAAATCCCATTTGTAAATTCTTGAATTTCTTTCCCGAGCTATTAAAATCACACAGTTTTTGCCTGTGTCTATATCTTGGCATGTCTTCCTCTATTATTTTCAGAGTTTTATTAATGTCTTTGATACATTTCAAGATTTTTTGTACATCGTGAGAGGTGGGGATCTAGTTTCATCTTTCTACATAGGGATATCTCCAGTTTCCCTAGCATCATTTTATATATATATATATTTGGCATCTTTGTCAAAAATCATGTGGCTGTAGCTGCAGAGGTTTGTATCTGGGTTCTCTGTTCTGTTTCTCTCTTTATGCCATGGTATTTTTATTACTGAAGCTTTGCAAGTATAACTCGATACCAGGTGTGGTATAAACTCACCTGTTTGTCTGTCTTATACACACATGGGGCTAGTATCTAAAAATTTAATGCTGAATGAAAAAGTTTACATTTCAGGAAGACATATACAGTTTCAATATATAAAATGCTGTTAAATGTATTTTGGATTTCTTTGTTGACATCTACTTATCTGATACAGCTCTAAAAACATACTAGAAATGATAAATTCTAAGTTTAGAAGTTGAACATGCTCATGAAGGATACTCAAGACTCCTCAGTAATGATATTTGTCTTGTTTTGGGACTAGGCTGAACTAGAACTCACCGTGTCGTCCAGGCTAGCCTAAAACTTATGGCAATCTTCCTGCCTCAGCCTCCAAAGTGCTGGGATTATAGATGTGCGCCACTACACCCAACTCTTCTTTAAAAAATATTTTATTTATTTATTATTTTTTTATGAGTGTTTTGCCTGCATGTGTGTAAGTGTATCCATGTCATGCAATCCCTGTGGAGATCAGAAGAGGGCATTGGATTCCCCTGGAATTGGAGTTACAGATGGTTGTTAGCCACCATGTGGGTGCTGGGAACTGAACCCAGGTCCTCTGCAAGAGCAGCCAACGCTCTTAACATCTCTCCAGCCCTATCCAACTTCTTAATTCTTAAAAGGCAAACAACCTAGAAAAGATAAATGGCAAACATGAGAGGTGCTGAAGCCCCCAAATGGAATCATTAGTCTCTAATCTCTTATATATATATTTAGAATGCTTCATAAGTATCAGTAAACTAAAAAGTGATGGGTAACTGGCCAACTTCCTTTCCCTTTCCCTGTGCCCTAGAGGATTGTGTCCCCAGGACCCTGCTATGGAGGCTCACTCTGCAGTAACAGGTATTACTCTCCTGGAGGTTCACTCTATAGTAGTTGGTAGAGTGTTACGCTGTGAAGGAGCAGGTGTTTGGAGTGGGCTCTGACAATGTTCTGTGTTATTTCTTTGGGGAAAACTGCCTTCTGAATTCTAAATTATATACTTTTGTGTGATGATAAATTGGGGGTTTGTACTATCAAAATATATAAATATTTTTATCAAAATTGCTTCATTAGTCAATTACAATTTTTGTTTCTGACTTAGATGCATGCTACTCTAAAGATATAAGACTTTTTTATTCTGGAGATTGACTGACTTTCTTTTACTCACCACTACAGGGTCACTCCTGGCAACAGCTAATCTCCAGCATCCTTTATGGTAGTCTTTGGCTAGGGAGCAATAAGATGGTGTTCCTTGACTGGGTCTGTACAACCATAAATGTTTAATTAAAGATAAATTTAAGGAAAACATCTTCCTTTATGACATGAGAAAAGTGACCAATGACAAGTGACTAAACCATCAAGGATTCCAATGCATTCAGCCTTTGATGGTGGTACTGGGTTACTGAGGATATATTATAAAGCTGTCTGAATCATAAGATGAGATTTTACTTAATACTGTTTTATAGCTGCTATGACCAGTTTCTGAAGAATTAAAATAGAGCTCACTTAACTTATGTAGTTGGTTGACTGGACTCTTTCTCCATCCAACCTGGCCAACCCTCATTAGAGTCAGCCACTGAACCTCAAAAGAGCCTAGTTGTATACCTTACTGTTTTATACAAGCAGATTTCCTAGGGATGTTGACAAAAATCTCCCCTTTTTGAACTGGACAGTGTTTCTTCCTTTGGTCAGGGGTCCGCAGACAATATTGCTTATAAAATTGTTTTCTTTCTATGCTGCGTACCTGTAATCCAACATCACTGATGTTGGTGGTAAGTGGCCTTTCTCACAACCAGAGAACCATCTTGGGACCAGATAAAGCTCGGAACTGCTCTTTGAGCAAATCTTTGCGTTTCACTCATCCCATAGCTAGAGCTGCGGAATAGCCAGAGCAGATTGGTGCCTGGAGTGAACTTTCCTACCGAAGTCCTGCTGTAGTGCAGCTGCAGAAGCGCAGACTACTTCCCCATTGTCGTTTCCTGACAGCTTTCCTTAGAGCAGTTTGAAGAGTGGAGAGCTCCGTTTCTGAGACAGAAAAGTGTTTTCACACCTGAAGTGTAATTTCACACCTTGTGTTTCTCAGCAGATAAGTGCATAAAATAACACATCAAACCGGAATAGAAAAAGATCAACATACAAAGAAAACTGTAGGTTGTAATTTGCTTCCTACCTTACAATGTGCTGAGAGGGAACGGGGAATTACAGAGATCTGGGTTTAAGCTTTGAAAAAGTTTGACTGGTGGTTAGGTGGGGAAGTGAGCTGTAAACACTAATCAGCTTTCTGCCTGCACTGAACAGAAGGTACAGGATGATAGAATCCAGGAAGTACCCTAACGTTTTGATTTTTCAAAGAGTAGCATGTGTCTAAGTTAGAAGCAAAAATTGTAGTTGAAAGTCTAAAAATAATCAATGAAGTGATTTTAATAAATATAATTGTGGAGATAATTTTCTTTATAATGATCCACTCAGAGGTTTCAGTAAAGTAGATGATGTTAGTAAAATTTAGATGTTTTCTTTCTATAAATAGCAAAAAATAGGATACTAGTCACCATTTCCAAGCATTCTAATAATGCATAGAGTTTTAAAATGAGAGGCTTCATTTTATTACATTTGAAAACTTGAGATTGAAAGAAAAAAAGGTTGAACTTCCTATGTAGTCATGCATTAATATTCATTATAAAATACTTGTTGAAGATCTAGCATCTGTTAAGTACTAGGCCTGACATGGAGGTGCTGTGGTAAGTAAGCTACGTCCTCTCTACCGCTGAGGGACTGGCAGCCTGCAGACAAGAAACCAGGTGAAAACTAGGTGTTGGTGGAGGTTGGCAAGGATTCCTGATTGAAGTGTTGTGCAAACTGAACTTTATTGGCAGAGGTTAGGGGAAGGTGTATGTGTAGTGGGGTGCCAGGGCATTTGGAGAGGACACAAACAGGAGAAGGGAAGGAGAGCTGATGGACTGGAGTGCATGAAATGATCCAAGGAATGTGTGGGCTATGTAGAGAACAGGAAGAAGAGAGACTCTTTGCTCAGACATAAAACAATAATGTGACTATGGAAAAGAGACATGGAGAAGAGTGTACAAATTTATCCTGCTACATAATTAAAGAAGCTCTATGGATGTCCACAAGCAGCATCGTACCTCTGCCTGTGCACCCACATACACTCTGCACAAACAGAGATTCTAGTGAACCTCAGGAGTTGCCAGATTGTGAGCTGCATGAAACAGTAGGCATGAAAGGTAGTAATCCATGTAAGATGTAGTGGCCCAACAGCAAGGGCGAAGCCTGGAGATGCTCCCTGTTGAAAGGAGGGATTGGTTGTTCATGTAAATATTATGACCAAGCCAGAAGAACAGAAAGCAGTGAGTGATACTTTCTCATCCCTTTCTTGTTTGTTTTGCTGTAGATACATACGGAAAACTCTTTCTCCTCAATTGTGTGGGTCAAGAGATGTCCCGCTGCAAGACGTCCGTTCGACGTGGCCAGCCCAACCCTGTCTATAAGGAGACCTTTGTCTTCCAGGTGGCCCTCTTCCAGCTCTCTGATGTTACGTTGATGATTTCCATTTACAACAGGCGTACTATGAAGCGGAAGGAGATGATCGGCTGGATTGCTCTGGGCCAGAACAGCAGTGGCGAGGAGGAGCAGGATCACTGGGAGGAAATGAAGGAAACCAAAGGCCAGCAGATCTGCAGGTGGCACACGTTGCTGGAATCCTAGGTTTGCCAACCAGCATTTCTGTGCTGTGTCAGCCTTGGTCATCTGCATTGCTGGCTCCTGACACCAAGTCAGAACATTTTGGGGGCTTTCAAAACTCTGGAATGTTCTGAGTGGGGTCTTTGTGTTTCCCAAAAGTTTGACTTGACTTTAATATTGTAATGAATGAAAACCTATATAGACAGCCAGGTGCACAGTGTAGGAAATGTCACTGTAGTCGAGACCACTAGCAGTGAGTTAATTTGTGCTAATAGATGATTGAGTTTTGGTTCACACTATGGGATGAGGCCTCTCGTGCTGTCAATGTTTGCTTAGAAAGTAGCCGAGATTGCAGGGGAGCTGTTAAATGTTACTGTTTTCCATCGCTTAGGTTTATGAATCAGAATCTTCTTAGTGTAAAGAATCCCAAAATGCAAAAAGGAATCAGATGCTGGGGGAGACAGAAAAATGTAACCACTGTTACATTTGATTTGATTCCTCTGTCATGCTTACTCTCTTTATCAAAAAACTATTTACCCCAAAAGTAATTGTTATAAATTTGTGCTATAAAATAAATTTGTATTCATTAAATGCCTCTTTTATCTCAATTAGATAGTATGGTTTCTAAAAGAATTGTGTATATGAATCCTTTTGAAGCTGGAAAAGAGTTTAAAAATTACTGTTGTATGGTTTGTCTCTATTTGACTATGTAAGATTTCAAACCTGTAACTGTCAAGGATTTTATGCTGTCTTCCTTACCTAATCAGTCCCCAAAGAATGAGAAGAAACATTTCCGAATCTGACATTCTTTTGGCTTATACTTTTTCTATACCAATTATTCGTATAGAGATTTTGTATGGACTCCCGCATGTCAACCACTCTCACTTTTATAAAGTGTTCCTTGCCAGCAGAGCAGAGTAAAATGCATAGAGTGGGATTTTAATAAATGCCAACTTTATTGACTTATGGGAATGAGCATGTGAACTCAGAGTAAAGAAATACTTTCCCTTTGTGTGGAATGGCGCTGACTTCTTGGAGCATTTGAAATGCCTGCAACTGTCACTTTTCCTGGCATTTGCAACAACATGTATTAATGTCTCCTCTTCTGGGCACAATGCTGTTTATTCTGAACACTGATCTTGTACAGCTGTGGGCATGGAGTTTTACTTATGACTTTTACATATTTATGCAACGCATGTTTGATTTCTAGATTGGAGCTCTTACTTTGAATTACTTTCGCCTGGTAATAATAAAGAAAGAACGAATGTACGTGTAACCCAGTGCTCAGTGTTAAGCTTTTCTGAGCAATTGCTCAGTCTCTTATTTTTAGCTTTTTATGTTTCATTGTTGACTTTTCCTGTCTGTGGGAAGAGTGATAGCTAGTGATGGATGTATACAGTCAAAAACACACAACTCCTCCTCAGCTCTACATTTTGACAGATTGTAAGCGTAGGCTGCAACCCAGGAGAACATATTTATTCCGTGCAGTTTGTAATGGTTATCCTGACAAGACCAGACTAGTGCACAAGATAACTCTACTATGATTACAGGGCTCAATCTTTGAAAGAAATAACTTCATGTGGAAAGATCAGAATTTGCAGAAGAAATTAGTATCTTAATTTATTTTCAGGCCCTGGCATTTCCTATGCACGGCTGATAGTTTGGGGGGGGGGTGAGAAATGAAACTGTGCTCTTTTGGTTTTTTTTTTTTTCCCTACCTTCCTTGGGAAGACCTTGGAGTGCTTTCCCAGCATCATGTCCATTAAATGCCAAGTGGGCTTTGCAGTGTGACTGTGTCACAGGGTAGAACTGAGTGCAATTGATGAAGGAACGGCAAAGAATTGGCTTTTCACATCCCTCCCTCTCTGTGTGCCTTGTGTTTAAAGGGAAGTAGAGCAGCCTCGTTATGCTTCCTTTATTCCACTGGCATAATAGCAGCATTCATTTTCAAATTTACATTTGAAAAAAAATCTGTATATATTGTACAGACAGCCCTGGGTTTTCTCCCTCGTGCCTTCCCGCTCTAAGTGTGGCTTGCATCTCTGGCTTTGTGATACCAATGATCACCTACACTTCATGCTCTGCTCCTTGACACCCCCGATTTTAAGGATTTCTGTTGGTGTACAGGAGGAATCCTTGTGGATCTATCTGCTTTCCTATAGTCAGCTCAGGATAGAGTTTACAGGAACGTGCAGCGTTTTAAGGGGGAAGGATGCCTGGAAAGCATTTTTCATTTTTTATGTTTTTCTTTGTTAGTGCTATTGGCCATATAGAGTTCACACACACACACACACACACACACACACACACACACACACACACAGGCATCTTGAATATGCAGCAGAATCCAGCCCCAGCTGACTGTATAAACATCAAATTCTAAAGACACGATGCGCTGAAATACAAGGCTGAATGGTTTTCACCTTGATTTGAAATTCTACTTCAGTAAGATCTTTTGATTTTGTGCACTTAGACTCTCTTATTTTCTTGGCAAAGTCTAGACCCAAATGCATTTAACATGTTTTTCACTTGAGCGTTTTTAGCCACGTTTGCTTCTCAAAAGAGTTATGAAAGATAATTAGCTGGCTCTGCGGCGGGAAGGCTGCTTTTGCCTATTTCTCCTAGCTAATGATTAATATCTCACGGGGAGCCTGACATGGAAGGAGCACTGGTTTTTGTTGCGTGAGTAGTTCTTTCAGTGCTTTTCCTGAAGAGTGTGCTTTTAAAATAATATCGTTGCAAATACAAGATGGTTTATGGAAACGTGCCTCCTAACGGGCCTTCTTTCAGGGTACGGGCTTACACTGAATTGAGAGGAGCTGTTTTCAACAGTCGTGGTGTTGGCCGTTGTGCTCCCTGCTCCCCTCTGACTATTGTTGAGTTTTTTAAATGGACTATTCACCAGGCAGCGAACACCTGCTCTCAGTTCCCTCTCCTTCACTGGCACCCTGTGAGATGCAGTTGTTTTGGACCCTATTTTTGCTGATGATGCATAACTGTTGGGGAGGGAGGGAGTCCTGCCTTCCCTAGCATAGGAGGAATTTGTAATGCCCTTGAATTCCACCTGCATGATGCCTGAAAAGGAACTTGCACCGCATTTGCAAGGAAAGATGAGAGCCTGGTGTTGCGTGGTTATGGTACTCAGTTTAGGTGCCATTAACTCTGATATTCTCCACAGTGCTACAGTAAGCCTGAAACATACCTTCTGCCCTTTCAACATGTAAATTCACAACATTATACAATTTACTGTTACTTCTTGTTCATTGGGATTTGTATTGTAGCTGTACTAGATGAGCTTATCTGAGAATCCAAACTTTTCTTTCCAAGCGAAGCCCTGTTTAAGTAGCATAGCAAGTAAATTGATGTATTGAACTTTCAGTGTAGACACAGAGCCGTGCGTTCTCCCAAACATGGCTATCCTTTAGATGCAGAGGACTTAGTATATGAAAACACGAAAAGTGAGTAGGAAAGAATTATTTGTAAGTAACATCAAACTACACGGAAAGATTTTTTTTTTGGAGACAGGGTCTCACTCTGTAGCCCAGCTTGCCTTGAACTCTTGACCCTCTTGCCTCAGGCTCCAGAGTATTTGGATTTACAGCGATTACAGCTATTATTATAGTACTACCTCCTTAGTTTTGGATACGGCTGTGGTAAAAGACTATTCAGTTCTACTTGATCCAAGACAAATACAAATGACTGATAATCTTGAAATGGCAAGCAAACTTCCATTATCTGAAAAACCAGTAAGTTGTTTAAATAAAACTTTAAGGAAATGGCATGGAAGAGTTGAAGAAATCAGTATGCAGACATGTTTGGCATCCACAGATGTGAATTTATTCAAGAGAGAATAAACTGGATGAAAGGCATTTGAGATCAAATAACACTCAACAATTAGTGGAATTCTGGACAACACTTAAAAGATTTATAATGAAACAGATCTAATTCACTGAAGCCGGTGTAGGCTGAGTAGATGTAGCTTGGATTCAGGTGGAACTCTGCTGTGTGGCCTTAAGAAAATGACTTATGGGACTGGAGAGATGGCTTGGCAGTTAAGAGCATTGACTGCTGTTACAGAGGACCTAGGTTCGGTTCTCAGCATCCACATGGCCACTAGCAACTGTCTATAACTCCAGTTCCAGGGGATCTGACACCCTCTTCTGACCTCTGTTGACATTGCACGACATGGGTGCACTTGCATACTTGCAGGCAATATACTCATACACACAAAATAATAAATAAAATATTTTAAAAAAGAAAATGACTTAGCTCATGCCCCAGTGTCCTTAACTGGAAAATGGAAACGAGGCCTACCTCCTAAGTACAACTGGTCACAGTTGACATGTGACCAGAATAGAAGCTGGCACTTAGTATTTAGCATTTCCTCCTGATAATCATACTTGAAAAACAATATTCAAGGTTTACCATTTTTTTCTAGGAAAGTAATGATAACACTAGAAGAAAATTCTACTTTTTTTCAAGTTCTTGGAAAAGAGTAGCTTCATGAAGCTGGCCTGGATTTGTACAGAAAGCAGATCTTATCAGGAGATAAACATGGTATATGGAATACATTAAATCTTAATGTCAATTGTGTCCTTTATCCTCTTAGTTTGGAGGGGGGTGCCAAACCCCAATAACATATGTGACATCTTAATCAACTACATACTAGGCCTTTCTTTGCCCTAGCCCTGCTCTTCATACTTGGACAGGACCCTTACTATCCCCATCAGAAAGCTTGCTGAAGATGAATTTGACTATATATTTTAACTTTGATCTGAAAAAATAAGACAAATGGTATGACACTTAAAAATAAATATATTTTTAAAACCTCTTAGATTTATATACTTGTAAGTGAAGAGTTTTCAATGACAGCTATTAAAACTTAGAACTCATTGATGTCAAATTGGAAAGTTCTATCCAGAACCAGTAACTTACCACGTTTTCCCATAGATCACAATAAAAGGAATTCTATCAGCAGACAACACCTCCTTTCACAGAGGGTTTAGGTACCTGGTTGATGTTATAGGAACTATGTCAGATTGCTCTCAAGAGAGTCAAACCTTGAGTGATGGGGATTTTCTAAGAATTTAGAAAAATTCTTGGTTGACTTGATCTGGAGAAATCAGAAGCAAGTTACCTCAGGAATAGTTGCTACTACGTGCCATAAATCAATCATCTTTTACTTGGATTTTTTGTTGTTTTGAGACAGGGTCTCCTGCAGCCAAAGCTGGCTTTGAACTCATTATGTAGCTGAGGATGACCCTGGACTTCTGATCCTCCTGCCTCTACATCCTGAGTGCCAGGATTAGATGTGCACCACCATGCCTGGTTTTTGTGGTGCTGGGGGTCAGACACTCTACCAACTGAGCTATATCCCCAGTCCTTGCTTGTGTTTTAAACTCTGAGTGATTCTGGGATAGAGAGCTGTGAGGCTACACTCCTGCTTACTGCCAAAATGCTATGTTGAATTCCAGGCTTCTCAGTTCAGGGGCAACATGAAGACATTGGACAGAATCCCTTAGCTTAGGACTTTCTGATGAGAATAACACAACATGTAGGAATGATACAGTATTGGGTGGGAAGTGACTTTTGGTCACAATGACTTCTCTGAAGGCAGAGCCCTACCTGAAAGGACAGTGCACATTTTCTAAGTTTGGTCACGTGGACAGAGTCAGAGCGCACCCACTGACACTGAGTGATGAAACTTGAACTTAGACATGAGCAGAATTAGATGCAGGTCGTCTCGCTAGCTTAAATGTCCTCACTGAATTTTTTCTTGTCTAGGACTGTGTTATTTGGGATAGCACAGCTCTTAAAATCTTTTTTGAAGCCATTGACCATCATTGAAACCACAGTGCTTACCAATATACAATCATTAAGTTATTTTTAATTATTTGCGGTACGAAGTAGTTTCTAGCTATGGGAAGGAGGTGAGACTCATTGGCTGAACTTACCAGGCAAAGACTGCTGGAGTTCCCTGAGTGGTTGAGCTTTGGGTGCCTCAGGGAACTGCTAAGAGGATCCCAGAATCATCATTTTTAGATGTCTTTTAAAATAGAAAGTTGTGCTGGCAATGTTAGTTCTAGCTTATGGAAAAGTGGGAGGGCATCCAAGAAGCACATCTTTAGAAGGTTTCTTCTGAAATCAGTGTTTTATGTATAATCTCAACACTCCTGGCCTGTGTTCTTTACCTTCGCATACTTGCCCTGCATTGATTGTGTTCTCTGGGGAGCTCCTATTCAGACTTGGTTCAGATAACCCTGGGGGTGCCTGCAGGCTCTGGATGACTCTCCTTTCCTGTGACGTTTTGACTGTTTTTGTTCCCCTTGGGTCACATTTTAGTATCGTAGACACAGATGATGAATACCTGTATTTATAGGCACCATGGAACCTCAACACAGCTTGAGGTTTTATAGAGCAAGTACATGGCAGCAGTCATGGAGATCTGTAGATCTAAGCCTTGTGAACGGCTCTCCAATGCTCTCTAACGCTGCCTCGAGGTGTCTCCCTGGGTGCTCTTCCTTGTTCCTGTGTGAGGAGACCAATC